TTTCTCCATTTCCTTATTTATTTTACAAATTAATTCCATCATAACTATTTAAACTGGCAACAATTTCAGAGTCTTTGAGAACTAGTAGATATTACTCAATGCTACTAGCGTAAGCCACTGAGCCACATGTTTAGCTGGCTCTCACATGGAAAGTCTTAAAAAACTGGTGTTGATCAAGAGTCACATGACTGTTCCTCAAATGTTAATCTGAATGCATGTTATGCTGGGGCCCTATGTAGGTTATAACCATGTATAGTGTTTAAGAGCTTTAAACAAGCTTTTCAAATGCACATTTTATCTCAAACTAAGGATTCATTTATTTACTGAGTGCATTTTCATTTGGTATCTCTCTCAACCCCAGTGGCTACCTCTATGCAGAAATTATCTTCAAAAAACAAACTTGACATCCTAAATGGTTAGAGTTTCTTGAGAAATAATTGAGATTTCTATTGTGAATGTGTGTACTGTTTCATGCATTTAATAGCAAACACCAAAAAAAAAAGTCCATTGAAATATGGAAAAAGGAAAGTGTAATGAAAACAGATCAGTGAACGGCTAAAACCACTGTTTATTTATTCTTTCTTTCCAGTCTTTGGTTTCAAGAAACGACACCTCGATGATGCAAAGTTTTAGACAGGAAACACAAGAGAACTTCAAGTTGGAACTGATTACCTTTCAGATTCATGAAAGAATTAGAACTTGGTGTTTAAAAGAAACACTAAAAGTCTGGCTCACGGTGAAAACTAGAAACTTCAGTTAAGGCTGCAGCAGAGATGGTTTATTTATTGGTAATGTACTTGTGTACCAATAACTAACTCTACAACTTCTACTTATAAAAAAGTTTGAACTGGGGAGAACACACTGCCCAGTATAACTGAAAAAGAAAGGAGAATAAAGATGACAAGAAGAAGGACCACAACAAAACTACTGCCTTGATCGTGAAAGGCAGTGACAACACCTACTGTCAAGAGGAGTGGTGTATGCTTACTGCCTCTCAAGATGTGGCCCAATGCAAATGCCATAGTCATTTACAGTGCTCTCTGTTAAACAGGAAGTGGGACATATTCAATTTTAGGGGTTTCCCCTCACATTCAGCAGAAGATGGAGAGGACCATCATGAAGTTTTTGTCAGCTATTGCTCTTTTTTTTTTCATTTTAATAAATAAATAAATAAATAAATAAAAGCTCTGTATTTATCATAAATGATGAGGATACCGATATAATGCTGCAGTTTTTGGCATGAGAGAAATGATCTTGAATAACCCAATTTACAGAATAACATTTGATATGCCTGAAGTTGTGTTTACCATTAAACAATTTCCCATCCAAAAACAAAATCCAAATAGTTGAGTACTTCAACCTAAAAAAAAAATTCCTGATATTGATGAGCTTATTTTAATTTATTCTTCTTAAGCTGAAAATCAACTACTACCCAATACTAAGTGTCAGCCTTCAGGAAATGCCTATGGCATACCCAGAAATACTGGAGGCAAAAGGCTAACAAAAGCTGAAACAGCTCTCATAGGGGCAAAAATCCACTATCAGTAAAGTCACAATGCAACTAATTTTCTCTACTAGATATATAAAATCAGTGGCACCTACCACCCCGTTCCATACAATATCTCTACTCAGAAGAGTTAATGGGATGAAATGTCACTAAGGATATTAAAGTAATACTATGGTTATCATCAAGATAACACGTTCATTCAAGAGACAAGGTGAGTAATATCTTTTATTGGTTCAATAAAAGATATTACCTCACTTACCTTGTCTCTCTAATATCCTGGGACCAGCACAGCTACAACTACACTGCATACTTTCATTCAAAGCATTTTCAGTACCTTTCGCACTCCGTAAAAGTTCATGTGGGTAGACTAAGACCAGAAATGGAAGTTTTGGAAAAGATTCAGAAAATTCTATCCAGCTGTTTGAGGTATCCACGCAAAAGGAGAAAAAAAAACATTTTTCACAAGTTTAGTAACATTGTAGAAATTCTTTTCTTCTACTGAAGTGTGAAGTAAAAATATTTTGCATTTCAAATCTATATGATTTGGACATTCACACAATCTCCAAAGAACACATTATCCTGTCAAATGCAGAAAACGTGTTGCCCAACAAATAAAGAAGAGTTAAAAACAAGTGAAAAGGGCATAATGCATGCTATCTCCTTTACCCATTTAAGTAAACACCAAGCAGAGATGTACATGTTCTGCCCTGCTTCTACTTGGGTAAAATGAGATATCTGAAAAATCTTCAGCCCCAGAAGCCTCCCCAGCTGCAGCCACTTATTCTGTCCCATGAACAATCTGATGAATTCCCCCCAATTTACAGCTGGTGGGCCCTGCTGTGTGTATTTTCAAATTTTACCTGCTCTCAACGGAGCAGTACAATACCTCCTCACTTAATGTTATGTTCCTGCAAAATGCAATTTTAAGCAAAACGATGTTAAGTGAATCCAATTTCCCCATAAGAATTAATGTAAATGACGGGGTTAGGTTCCAGGGAATTTTTTTTCCTTGGCTGAGGTAGAGGAGTCAGAGGGTGGGATATTTCCCAGGGAATGTCTTACTGCTAAATGATGAACTAGCAATTGGCTGAGCCCTCAAGGGTTAACTCTCACACTCTACAAGGCAGAAGAAATGGAGGGAGGGGAGAGAGCACTGCAGACAGAGACATACACCCTGTGTGTGAGAGAGAGAGAGAGATGCACATTTCCCCTTTAAGTACACTGCCTTGTTAATTAGATCAGCTTGCTGAGACCGCAGCTGCAGCCAGCAAGCTCCCTCCATCCTGAGCACTGTCTTGTGTCCCCCCTGCTCTATGGAAGATGCGGTAAGCGGGGTGCAGGAACAGAGTGGAGGGGGACACCCTGACATTAGTCCCTCTCTTCCTCCCTGCACAGCAAGCAGGAGTCTCAGGGAGCAGCACATGGCAGTGGGGGGAGGGACAGCTGCAATTGCTAGCCTGCTGATAGGGGGGCTGCCGGTCCACCCTGGTTCCAAGCTCCCACCAGCTAGCTGCAAGGGGCTGCTCTTCCTGCAAGCACTGGACAAAGCAGATGGCTGCCAAATGATGTGAGAAGGGAGCATTGCACAACTTTAAACGAGCATGTTCCCTAACTGATCAGCAAGGTAACAACAAAACAATGTTAACGGGGAGACTAAGTGAGGAATTACTGTATAGTGTAGGGCAGTGGTTTTCAAACTTTTTTTCTGGCAACCCAATTGAAGAAAATTGTTGATGCCCATTACCCACTGGAGCTGGGGCATGAGGGGTTTCAGATGTGGGAGGGGCTCAAGACTGGGGCAGAGGGTTGGGGTGAGGACTGTGGGATGGGGCTGGGAATGAGGGACTCAGGGTGCAGGAGAGGGCACTAGGCTGGGGCAGGGGTGCAGGAGGGAGTGAGGGCTCTGGGGTGGGGCCAGGAATGAGGGGTTTGGGGTGGAGCAAGGGGCTTGGTTTGGGGGGGCTCAGGGCTGAGGATTAGAGCATCAGCTTACCTCAGGCGGCTCCCAGTCAGCGGCACAATGGGGGTGCTAAGACAGGCTTCCTGCCTTTCCTGGCACCGCAGACCACACTGCGCCCCGGAAACAGCCAGCAGCAGGCTCCACACAGCTCTCACCCACAGGCATCACCCCTCCCTCCCCAGCTCCCATTGACTGGTTCCTGGCCAATGGGAGTGCGGAGTCGGTGCTCAGGAAAGGGGCACCGCGTGGAATCCTGTAGTGCCCCTGCCTAAGAGCCAGACCTGCCACACCAGCACAGTGTCAGAACAGGTAGGGACTAGCCTGCCTTAGCCAAGCAGCATCGCTCGGGCTTTTAATGGCCCAGTCAGCGGCACTGACCAGAGCTGCCACAATGCAACCCAGTACTGGATCACGACACGCCGTTTGAAAACCACTAGTTTAGGGAACGTAGTCTCAGCATATGTGAAAATCGAAGTGAAATAAATACATTTGTTTGTTTAAATTATCATTGGATTCAAATAAGCATTTATGAACTACACTACCCTGTTTGAACTTAACTTCTTAAATTTTATGTGAATGCAACACTACAGATAAGAATGAAAATATGTAGTCATGCCACTCAGTGTTATGGTACCCACAAACTATGATGCAGCCATCTCTGTGCATTTAAAACCCCAACCATGATTTTTCACAACTTTAGACCATTAGTGTGACCACATACCCTATCTTCCTTTCAGGGTGGAAAATACACAGGCAAATACAGTGGGTGGCACAAAGTCAGTGTCATGGTACTGGGTATATGTATACAGTATCCAAAGCCTGCTATGGGCTTTAGAGACATAGAATAAGGCAGGCCTGTGCCAGGAAATCACAGAGATGTAACTAAGGTTACAAAAAGTTCTGTTAAAAGGGAGTTGCTGTCAGTAGCAGGCCTGTTATCACTTTCCCACGATCACAAGGGCAGGAAGATAGTGGTTTCCTGAAGGTGGAATGAGGGGGTTCTAACTAAGGCGAAAGGTGATGAGGGAAATTAACTAACTTCAACTCAGAGCAAAACCTTTCCTCACACGAAGCGCAAAAATTTTAAAACCTACGTGAGGCGGCAGGCATTCAGCTGGGGAAGAGAGGAGCAACTTGGCACCTCTTGCAAATACCACTCTCTCTCTCTCTCTCTGCGCCTCAGCCGGCAGGAAACCCTGGCTTTGTGCAAGGCACACCGCCATCTGCCCTCTTAGCTCAGGCAAGCCAGTTTGCAGCAGCTGCTGCTGCTGGCGACACAGGAGAGCAGCAGTTCGCACCCAGAATGACAGCGGGGCAACACAAAGCCTGCAGGGCAGGAAGCCTCCCTGCTCTGCGCAAGGAGGCTCTTAGCAAGACTCTCAATTCAGCGCCGATTACTGCCGCAAACACAGGGACCCGCCCCTGCAAAGCACCGCACCAGTCTTATTACTGCAACAAAAAGGGGCTACATGGCTACACTGCACACACTGCCCCCGCCAGCACCTCCTCACCCCCGCCTCCCTTCCCACTCACTTTTGGTTGCAGCGATAAGGTTCTTTCCATCCTTGAGCAGCTCCTTGATGAACTTGTTGGTTTTTTCCAGTTCCGCCTCATGGGCTCTGATCCTCTCCCTGAACCAGGGGCTATCCAGGTAGCAATCGCTGAACTCCAAGGGCTGCAGCCCCATAGCTGCTGCAACTGCACCAGGGCTCAGCTCCTTGCAAATCCCTCTTCACCAGGCAGCAGCAGCAGCCTCAAGAGCCGACACTACGGAGCAGGGCAGGGCCCGCGGTGCCTCCCAGCTACAGCGATTCCCCCAGGTGACCTGGCAACTGGCACTTTCAAACCACGGCATGAGGGGGCGGTCCCCGAGGCCAGCCGCACCCCGGGCCCGGGGGCTCTTGCAACAAAGGGTGAGGAAGGGAACAGAACAGCAGCTACTCCGAGAGCTCCATCAGCGTTCGGCAGCGGCCGGAGAAGCCTCCCGCCGTGAGAGCAGCTGGGACGACAGAGCAGACGCTGCTGCCCAGCTCCCGGCAGCCTCCACCACAGGCAGCCTCGGCATCCCAGCCCCGCCCCGCCCCGCTCCCAGCTCCACCCTGCCAAGTTCCAACCCCCCGCCCTCGGCTCAGCCTGAGCTGCTCTCGTCTCTGCCCGCTGGCGCTGGGCGCCCTCCCCACGCGGAGCCGCCCTCCCCGCGCTCCCAAATTCCAGGGACCTTGTTGCATGATTAGCAACTTGTGACGAGGCAAGAGACGTGCCAGGAAGGGGGGTTGCAGCAGCGCCTGCCCGGGGTGCGGCTTTACAGCGTGCTGGGGTTGTGTGGCCCCCAGAAGGGCATGAATTACCCTACCTCCCCCATGCCGAGCCTGCTGAGCTTGTGTCCCCGTTGTCCCCTTGCCATTATTGCCCGGTCCAGAATTAGCGGCAAGTTGCCGCACAAGGTATCGTCTGCCCCCTGTCTGCTGATTTCACTACGAGCCAGCTCTCCTCCGCTCTGAACTCCTAGCCTCCGCTCACACACTAATATCAGAACATAACTGCCGCCTCATCTTCGCCCAGGTGCACATCCTACCTACATCGAACCGGTTCATGTCTGTACGCAGTACATCGGGGTAAATGGTGCCGCGATCGGCCTTCAGGTTTTCTCCTAGGTGCGTGCTGTGTTTAGAAATACTTGTTAGAAATACAAAGTTTGTGGTAGAGGTGGGTGGATGTCAAAGTTTGTTCAGGAAGATTCCCTAGCTGGACATTTCTCTGCTTTTCAGGGACTTTGCACTGAAAAAAATTAAACTCTAAATCAACCAAGGTTTCGGTGGTAGGATGTAACTTTGGTGATGCAAATTACAAAATGCATGTTATATCCTCACATTTATTCCTTTAATTTCAAACTCCCATTCAAGTATATAATTCTTGGGAGCAAATACCAAAGCACCAGTTGCTCAAGAGGACATCTGTATTTGGCTTTCATTTTGATTTGGGGGGAGGGGGTGGAGTAAGGGTTTTTTTTTTTAGTCTGTTAGAACTTCACCAACCCGTGAACATTGTGCAAATTTATGAAGTGAAATAGCTCTGACAGTACAATAACTGGATGTACTCACTTAGATGCCAAGAACTCTGCCTATGTTATTAATTATTACAAATGACTTGTAAGTATAACAAGGAATTAATTCTTCTTGATTTTAGGGGATATTTTAGATGAAGAACAGTAAAGGAGTATGCAGTTTGTCCAGGGATATCTGAAAATTGTTGGTGGTAGGTTTTATTTTTGTTTGTTTTGTTTTGCTTGTTTTTGCCATCACGTTTAAAGTCTTCCTCAGCTCTTTCTCCTTGGGTTTACATCAGTGCCGTACCACAGGATTTGGTTAACATTCTGATCTTCTTAAATGTGGTGCAAATCAGGTGAAGGTAAAGGCTGTCTTTGTAAGAGATAATGTTGAAAGATATCTGATCTTTTCTCAGAAGATGAGTATAAAGAGATTAGGAAGGAATTCTGGAAGTGTTATCTAATTCAATCAAATCAAAGAATATTATTGCAAATTCCTAAAGGCAGCACTAAACACCAGCAGTGTAACAAGCAATTTAAAATGTGCATACACATTTGTTACTTTGTGACTGCCCTAGATCCTTAATCTCCTAAAGTTACTCCTGATATGATCAGAGCATATGAAATTAGATACACTTGTCTAGAAGTACAGTATGTTATTTTAAAACCTGACAAAGAACAAAATAATCTGCCCGTGCACAGAGATGCTGGCCCTAGGAAATTAAAATACTACTCAGTGAGGTAAACAGAACATGTGACACCCATACACACCGGTTAAAGGCCAAGATTAGTGTGTTTATTTTTCAATATAAAATATATTACATTAGTCATATTATATATTTTACCATCTTCTTCAGTTTAGTCCCTACAAAACTGTGAATTTCAACACAGGAATTCCATGCCTGGGACAGGATTTATAATACATGGTCTGATCCTGATCCCTTTTAAGTCAGTGAGTTTTGTTATTGATTTTAATTGCAATACCATGTGGCCTAAAGTTAAGCCCACACTACACTGTCCAGGAAAACTGTATTGAAATCATTTTAGCACCTTGTTGGGAAGAACTGAACTAAAAAGGACACTGTCATTTTAAAAATAACAATGTTGTCTTAAATTCTTATTGTTGTTACAAAAAAAAATCTGAAAGAAAAGAGGAGGGGAAACCTGTATTTTTTCACTGTGTTTATTTTGTGCATTTGAGAGCTTTTTGTGTATGGTATAGTCAGTTTATCTGTTTTCACTGTATACTCCATGAGAATCTCCAAGGCTCCATCCTGCAACCAGTTATGTATGTGAGTAACTACGTATTTTAGGAATCTCATTAAACTCAATAGGTCTTCTTGCATTTGGAAAATTACACATGTGTGTAAGGCCAGGTCTACACTAAAAAGTTAAGTTGACCCACTACATCACTTGGGAGTGTGAAAACTCCACACCCCTGAGCAACATATTTAGGACAATTTATGTAGACAGTGCTAGGTTGATAGGACAACAGAAGAATTCTTCCATCTACCACTTTTCAGGGAGATGGATTAACTACAGCCATGGCTGTAGTGTTTACACTGAAGCACTACAGTAGCGTAGCTACAGCTTTGCAGCTGTGCCACTGTAGCAGTTTAAGTTTAGACATTGCCTAAGGTCTGATCTATACCACAAAATTAAGTCAACATAAGCTGCCTTGTATCAATATAGTTGTGCACGTGTCTCCACTTACATTTGTCTCCCACTGATCTGAGCACCCCCATTAAGCCGACACACTAACACCACCTCCCCGAGCAGCGTTGAGCCATAGTCGATATACGGAGGTCAATGCAGCACAAGGGCAGAGACTGTTGCTTATGTTGACCCTAAAAGTCCCCCAGCAGGGGTCACACAATGAGTAACACTGACCACTCTGGTCACAGTTGTGAACTCCATTTCCCCACAGCCAAAGAGACCAGAAGACACCTGCACTCTTCTTTAAAGCCTGCAAATTTTTTAAATGCCTTTTTCTGAATGTACAGCTTGGCAAGCACACCTAGCAACTCTCCATTGTTGTGTACAACTGCCTAGCTGACTACGACAGCTACACACTCCAGACAGGCTCCAGCTCAGAATAAACAGGAGATACTGGATCTCGTGGGCCCGTGGGGAGATGAGGCAGTGCAGGCACAGCTACAGATCAGCCATAGAAATGTGGACATCTACAAGCAGATTGCATGGGAGATGCAGGAGAAGGGGTACAACAGGGACCAGCAGAGGTGCCATGTGAAAGCAAAGGAATGGTGTCAGGCATATCAGAAGGCCAGGGAGGCCAACAGTCAATCTGATGTCAAGTTCCAAACCTGCCACTTCTACAAAGAGCTGCATGCCATACTTTACAGAGCCCCACCACCATACTGCAGACCACCAAGGAGCCCAAGTTAAAGGCCCCTGGCATGAACAGTGAGGACCAAGAGGAAGGGGAGGAGGGACTTGCAACTGGGGGATCCAATAATGCCTCAAGCCATCGCAGTCCAGTCAGTCCTGGCAGTTGAGTACAGTCAAACCCAATGCAAAGGAAGGAATCTTGGGTAAGTATGTTACTGTATGTCCCATTACAATGATATACTGATGGCACCCCCAACTAAACAGGACACAGTAAATCCACTTTTAATTAATTTACTTGTAGTAGAAGAGGTACTGGTATAACAAAGAGAGGTAGCATTATTATCTGCTTTTCATTCCCCTGCAGACTTAGGCAGGGAAGGGGGGCACGTGAAGTAAACTTGTTTATGTACACAGGGACGTCCCTTGAATCCTCCTGGGAGATCTCAACATTTTCATGGAGGAACTTTGCAATCCTTTACCAAAGGTTTCTAGAGATGGCAGCCTTATTTCTTCCTCTGCAGTTGGACACTTTCCCAGGGCTGTTAGCAATAACTTTGGCAGGCACTGTTACAGCACACAGGCTAGGACGGGGTGGGCAAACTTTTTGGCCTGAGGGCCACATCTGGGTATGGAAATTGTATGGTAGGCCAGGAATGCTCATGAAATTGGGGGTTGGGGTGCAGGAGGGGGTGAGAACTCCACCTGGGGGGTGCAGGCTCTGGGGAAGGGCCAAAAACGGCCCTTCACATTTACATTGCCCAGAGTCACAGTCCTGTAAATCAGGAGACAGTTAGTGGCCCTGCTGCTAGGGTGACCAGACGTCTCAATATTATCGTGACAGTCCTGATTATAGGGAACTTGTCCCATGTCCTGACCTTACATCAGTCGGGACGCACTTTGTCCCGATATCGGGGGACCGTCTGGGGGAGGACGCAAGCCGTCGCTGCCGGCGCCGCTTACCTCTTCTTCCTGGGCCTTGGGGCAGCGCAGCTGAACTCCTGGCGCCCGCCGGCCGGCTGGCAGGAGCCTGCAGAGTGCTGCAGCCCCACTCCCCAGGCACGCACAGAGGCGACGAGGAGATCTCCACTATGTGCTGCAGAGGCGGGACTTGTAGGCAGCCAGCAGCGGGCAGAGTAGGGTGACCAGACTTCCCGATTTTATCGGGACTGTCCTGATATTTCCTTGTTTGTCCCGCGTTCCGACCGATGTGCGGTCGGGACACTGGACAAACAAGGAAATGCTCCAGAGCCCGGAAGTGCTCACGCCCCCCTCCTCCCCCCACCCCGACTCTGCCCCCTCCTCCCCCCCCATTGGCTCCCTCCCCAAATCCCCACCTCTTCCCCAGGCTCACCATTCCTCCTCCCTCCACAAGCGCTGGAGGGAGGCCCAGGAGACGCAGGGGAAGCGCGGGGCCAGGCCGCGGGCGCCCCCCTACTCTCCCT